TTAATGTAACCACAATGCCTGCAGTGGCTTGGAGGGAGGGGTAGGGCATTATTAATACTATCATTGTTGTTAATCAAGGGTAATTGAGGATGGGGCAAGAAAGGTGACTATTATCACTGAGTAGTGACTTGCAGTTTCAACCTTAAAAAAAAAAAAGGTAGAGCTTATTCCTGGAAAATTCGTATTTCAGTTTTATAAAGTAATATTGAAAGCTGTCGTATATAATCAAAGAGAACCAATTAAAAAATTGTGAGGGTAAATTTTTGGAAGTTTTAGGAAGAAAAATGTGCTTGAAATCTATATGCTAAAATAAAAACAAAGGTAGCAAGTAAATTTAATCTCTGTGCAAATAGTCCTGAAGTCATTTCAGGCAATCCAAGTAATGGAAGTAGACTTTGTAGATATTGAGTTTACTAAGAAGAATTAAATCCAAGGGCTGGGTTTTACCCCTAGCTTTGAACACTATTTGTTTTCAAATTAGTGAAAAGTCAGAGAGAGAGTCAGGGACCAGAAGAAAGATATTCACACTTTTATCTGCTTTGTGTCAAATATTCCTTCCAGTCAGAGAAATATCTGTTCAAGTGATATTTATGTGGACAAAGCAAAAAAGAGGTTAATGATTTGGCACCACAAAGCAAGGACTTTAGTAAAATAAAGGATTTCCTTTGAAGAAAACATAAAGATGTATATGTTATGTCTTTGTAGGTGGAAGAGTTATTAAGATATCTGGAGGACAAAATAAAGTAAGTAAAAATCCTAGAGTCAATTTTAGGAAACAGACTCAGACTCAAAGTAAGTGCCTAAGAAGTTGAAGATGTATTCAGATGTGATGTTCCCATGGAGAACAAGTTACTAGAGCTTGCTTGACCGGTTCTAGAAGTGTATGCACTCTCTATTTGAAAGAGCATAAATGTCCATGCAAGTTGTCCAGTGGGGTAGTATAACAAAAGTTTCCCATTGGTGTAACCAACCTTGTTGTTGTGAATCTCCTGTCACTGATTATTTCAGAAATCAATCTGATGGTTCATTTTAGAAGTCATTTGGCCCATGTGACAAAAAATGAAAGTCAAATTTCTGGCTTCTACAAAGTTCCCCATCCCTGAGAGGGAGTTAGAAGGAGAGACACCGCTAGTCTTCCTCTGCATGTTTTGCTTTCTTATATGATATTTGCAGTGTTACATCCACTGAGGTACCAACTCAAAGACAGAGCCAGAATGAATGATGGCAGAGATGAAAGGTGGGAGGAACTGAGGAATGCTTTATTCCCAGAAGTTCTATCATGTGAGTTCATGAACTTCATTATTAAACAGTTTTGTGCCTGAGTGTTTGCTGTTTGCAGATTAAGCTTTCATAATTGATATGCCTTTGTTAATAGCTTCACCAAATGGTTAATTTGGACTTGACAGCAGTCAATTACATGTGTCCCGTGCGTTGGCTTCGAGCACAGCATTCAAATCTAACATCTCCTCTGAAACGCTGATTCAGAGCTGATTGATCCCTACTATATGCTAAAATAATATGTGATACAATTCTGCTTTTAACAGAAGTATTTTGGAGAACATACTCATAGTAGTGTGACGAATTCTCCCTCAGCTGTCTCATGCACTATTCTGTGAGTACCTCCAGAAAGGATGATACTTCTTATTCATCAGTGTATCCCTAAGATAGTACCTGGCAAATAATAAATACTTAATAAATGTTTTACAAATGAGTGGCAAAAGAAATAAGCATTCTTTCTTTTTTTTTTTTACTTTTTAAAATTTGTTCTAATTAGTTACACATGATTGGTAGAATGTATTTTGACATATTATATGTATATGGAGTATAACTTCTCATTCTTCTGGTTGTACATGATGTAGAATTACTTTTGTTGTGTAATCATGTATAAAATAGTAATGTCCGATTTATTCTACTATCTTTCCTATTCCCATTCCTCCTCCTTTCCTTTCATTCCCCTTTCTCTAATCTGGTGTATTTCTATTCTTCCCTAAAACCTCCCATCCTTATTGTGAATTAGCATCCACATGTCAGAGAAAACATTCGGCCTTCAGTTTTTTGGAATTGGCTTATTTCATTTAGTATGATATTCTCCAGCTTCATCCATTTACCAGCAAATGCCATAATTCATTCTTCTTTATGGCTAAGTAATATGCCATTGTGTTATACCGACATTCTCAGTGTGTGTGTGTTTTTTTAATCTCTATAATAATGACTAAAGGCAGGGTTTTTGTACATTGTCCTCTCCTGACCTGTCCCTAAGCTGGGCCTTTCATGCTGGTGGTCTTCGGATGATGAATGGATCCCCAGATTCCTGTCATCTTTTCTGGTGTCTTATTATTACTATAGGGTCTCCCTTCTTAAGTGACAGAGTTCTCTGCTTTTCAATATCACTTTTGTTACTACAATTATTATTCAAATTTCAATTGTCTATTTATTTATTTATTTTATTTTTTTAGTTGTTGATGGACCTTTATTTTATTTGCTTATTTATATGTGGTACTAGGAATCGAACCTAGTGTCTCACATGTATGAAGAAAGTGCTCTACCGCTGAGCTACAACTCGAGCCCCTCAATTGTCTGTTTTTGTAGAAGTAGTTCATACTTATAATAATAATATTTCAAAATACGGGCTGGGGATATGGCTCAAGCAGTAGCGCGCTCACCTGGCATGTGCAGGGCGCTGGGTTTGATCCTCAGCACCACATAAAAATAAAATAAAGATATTGTGTCCACTGAAAACTGAAAAATAAATATTAAAATATTCTCTCTCTCTCTCTTTAAAAAAATGTATACTAATATAAAAAACTAAAAAGTAATTAAGCATTATAAATATTTCTTTTTAAGATGATATTCTCTTCTCCAATATGGAGAACAGTTATTTTGAAATTTAATTTTGGTAATAACTGGTTCAAATGTGAGATGTGCAGTTGAAAAAAAATTCAGTCCTCGTTTTGCTAGTATGTTCTACTTTGGAGAAAATGGTGTTAAGTTTGAGAAACTGTTTGCTTAGAATAAATGACATATTGTGTAAACCTCATTTTAATAATTTTTATACATTTGGAGGCTTTGAGAAGAATTTTTATATTAAGTTTTGATTTCTGTATTACCTTGCTTACAACATAAATTTTACTCAAAATAATCATGCCAAATTAATTCTTAGCAAATATATATTTAAAATGAAAACTTCCAATTTATTTCTTCTGCAGTATAAAATAAGCCCATCTCTTATCTACTATGTGTTATTTAAAATATAAATAAAAATAAAAGTAGGAACTCCTTTCTAAAGAGCTAAGTATAAAATTTTATTAATGGGTAAAGAATTTTTTGAATGGATTTATTATTTTTTTTGACAATTGGTACTTTCTATTGCTTCACCCCACCCCACACCTACCTTATATTTTTGTTGATTTTTTTGCTGTAGTAGTAGTTCATATTTATAATAATTTGTTTTTTTTTCACCTTTCAATTTGGAAATAATTTCAAAGTTATAAAGAAGAAATTGAAAGAGAAATACCAAAGCACACTCTTTGCCTGGCATTCCCAGGTTTCAAGATTTTAATGCACTTGCCCCACCTCCTTTTCTCCTTCTCTTCCCACCCCCCTCTTCTCTGACAGAGAGCCTTTTTTTTTTTTCTGAACCATTTTAGAGTAAGCTGAGAAATTGACTCCATTTCTAATATGGTTTGGATATGAGATGTCCCCCCAAAGCTCCTATATTAATGCAGGAATGTTCAGAAGTGAAATGACTGGATTTTTAAGAACTAAATTTTGCTTCGTTCAGTTTCATCTTTTGGTTGTTGTCCACTATGTGTACTAAAAATCAGGTTGAAGAGCCAACTTAAGGTCTTTTCTGAACCTTCCTTCGGCATGCACAGTGACTTTCTAATTTGCCCACATGTAGCTTCTTTTGAATGTCTTAGTGTTTAATGACTGGCTGCCAAAAGGGAAAAATCAGAAAATGAAGTGGGGAGGAGCCAATCCTCTAAAAACCCTGAGCTTGCTTCAGTCTAAGGAGAGGGACTCGCAACAATGAGGGTTGTGTGACAGTGGCTGTTGGCATCTGTGAATGCACATCTGTGATCATAAGCAGCCATCATCAACTAAGACACAGATGCACGATATTTGGAAAAAACAGGGTTCTTATTGCCTATCCTGGCTCCTACAAACTGTGTGCCATTGGGCTGGGGATGGAGGGTGAGTGTCTGCTACTATGGCGGGAGCTGAAATTAACAAAAAATAATGTCAGTTTTATCATCTAGGACTTTCCCTGAATGTTGCAAGGATCTAGTAGACTCCAGAGTTTCAAAATAGTTCCATCAAACAGATTCTTCCAATGCAAGTGTTGTCTAGGTAAGGAGTATATTCCTGGTGCTTCCTAGTCCCTGTCTTCTTAGGATCCTCTCAAAATCAACCTCATCACATTTTATGAATCAAATTACCATTTGGACACTGATGATTTCCAGATCTACATTCCGTCCAGAATAGCTCTCTTAAATTTTAGATTCCCAGACCTATTCTCTATTTAGTTTTATGGGGATTGGGGATGTAGCTCAGGCTAGAGTGCTTGGCTAGTACACATAAAGTCCTGGGTTACATCCCAGGACTGAAAATAAAACAACAAAAAAAGTTCCCTTCTAGTTTTATAATATTAAGTTCTGAGTTTCGGTCACCTCATTTGTAAACAGAAATCCGAAATCCTCTCTCAGTGTTTTGATGATAAATGACATGAATTATGCAGATTGTCTAAACCATTGTTAGCGATTAGTGAATATTGGTTTACAAAGAATTGTCCTAATCGACCCTCCCAAATATCTATATAAGTCCTCCACATCTCTAGTGTGGAGACAGTCATACTGACAGTCATACTCTTTGTTTTTGGAAGAAAACAAACACTTATGACCAAGTCCACCTCTCTGTTCTGTCCACATCATGGTGTTACATATATGACAGCTACTCAGAATTGGACTTATTTTTAAAGCGAACATACAAACTGAATGATATCAACTGCAGTATATATTTTATTTTTAATTTTCCATTAACACATAATATTTATACATACTGAGGTTCCATGTGGTACTTCAATACATGCATACAATGCTCATTGATGAATCCAGCCTCCCTTCCTAACCTCCATTAATCACTCTTCTACATTAGATTGACTTTTGTTTTTCTTTAACTTTCACATAGGAGAGAGAATATGTGGCACTCATCTTTCTGTATATAAATTATTTCACTTAACATAATGTCCCCTATGGTATACACCTAAACAGATTTTTGTCTTACTATAAATGTAACTGTGTGATTTAGAAATTTTGCCCTATATAAATGAAAACCCAATAATCTGTATAATCTGTAGAAGTGCTTCATGGCTTTCACAGGACACAGGAGAAACACACACACATACACACACACACTTGGGAAACCTCAGTATACTTTGTATGTTTTGAATATTGAGATTACAAGAAGATTGTATTTGAATAAAAAGTTTTGCTAGTAAGAAAACAATAAATGTGAAACTACTACAATGACGGGAATCTTTACTTATGGACAAAACTGTCACCACTTTTGTGGAATACACTATGGAATTATTTTCACTGAAGTCTGTAGCTTTCAGAAATAGACTGCGATGGTTTGGAAGTTGTTTGTCCTACAAAGGGTCATGTACTAGACACTTTTTTCTCTGTGTGGTGGTAATGTTGTGATAACTTTAAGAGGTGGAGCCTACTGTAAAGTAGTTAGGTCAATGGGAGACATAGCTCCCCAAAAGAATTAGGGAGATACTGGATAGACCCTATAAGAGTGGGCTGTTACAAAAAAGCAAGACTGATTTGTCCCTGCTCTCTGGCTTTCTGTCTCACTACATGATCTCTCTTCATATGCACTCCATCCATGATGTAATTTGTCATCAGGTCCTCACCAAAGGCTAAATTGATGTGACTACCTCATCTTGGATGTTCAGTCTCCAAAACTGTGAGCTAAACTTTTTTCTTATAACACCAGTCTTGGGAATTTTGTTATAGCAATGGAAAACTAAGACACCTGGTTCATCAATATTTTTTTTGTGGGGGGTGGTACTGGAGATTGAATTCAGGGGCACTCAACTACTAAGCCACAACTCCAACCCTTTTTTTGTATTTTATTTAGAAACAGGGTCTCACTGAGTTGCTTAGTGCCTCGCTAAGTTGCTGAGGCTGACCTTGAACTTGCAATCCTCTTGTCTCAGCCTCCCAAGCCGCTGGGATTATAGGCGTGTACCCACCAACTAAAAATTACAGACTAAAGATTTTTTCTACCACATGCAACAAGAATATACAACTCACTTGCAAAGATCCAGGACAGAGCAGGTATGAAACATAAGCATTTATACCAGCTGACAATAGACATTTTACTCTATGTAAAACTACATTAAGTCTCCAAGAGATAGTTTCTTAATTAGATATACTGAGAAAGGGACCTAATATTCAGTCATGGTACATATTGCCTCCTACCTGGGCAAATAGAAAATTCACAGACATTAATGTTTTTTTTTACCTTGCATTATTATTATGAAAGATCTTATGACTTATATGAGAAACAGATCAATAATGCAATTGTTCTATTTTCTTCACTCAATTATGAGTAAATGAAATTACAAAGCACAATAAATATATCATCCATCATATCACCTTCTAAATCTAAAAAGTTTTATTTAACCAAACCAAACATATTTAGCAAAATCCATCCCGGGAGAAAATTAGTTGCTTGGTAATTATGGGAAAATAATAATATCTCTTTGAACAATTCATCCAACAGAATGTCGTGGAGTTTGATACAAACTTCAGTCCAGGTCCCCGTGTCTCTTGGCTTATGCTCTCTCATAAACTCTGGTGGAAGTGACGCCTTTCATGACACATTCCTAGACATGCAAAACACAACAAAATGAATTCTCGGTTACTCACTGGGACTACACTATGGGTTTAATTATGGTGTTTCTTAATGTTAGAAAGGAAGCAATATTCATTCAAAAGACATTTGTTGTGGTGGGGGCACTGCTGCAGACAAGCTTTTGTGCCTGAGAGGGGGCAGGAAATGCCTTCTGGGAGACAGCATGCCTGGGCTGAGCTTAAAAGCACAGAGGGACTGGGGTGTGCCTCAATGGTGTTATGTGTGCTTAGCGAGTACCAGTGCCTGGGTTCAATCCCCAGTATCACAAAAAACACAAAGGGAAATAGCCAGGGTGGAAAGATAATCCTAATAAAATTGCTAGGTTATTTCATGATCATTATTCTACTTAAGGAAATTCACCTTGCTTATAAATACAAAATTCTAGATCCTAGTAGGAGAATCTTGAATAAGTACCTAGAAGATACTCACCACCACCAGCTTATCATCCTCTCTTTTTCTCTTTATGGTGGTCGACTTGCCATCCCACTTCTGTACCTGAACCAGGACACCCCCATCTAAGGTTATGATGCTCTGAAGACACAATAAAAAGTGATTATAATCTGAATATAAAGGCAGAAAATAAAATTTTAAAATATTACCCTGTTTCAAAGATATGCTTTGAGGTCATTAGTAATTCTAAATGACAAGAATGTATTCAAAAAATGAGTCTTAAAAATAACAGCATAGGACTGGGATTGTGACTCAGCGGTAGAGCTCTTGCCTAGCACGTGTGAGGCCCTGGGTTTGATCCTCAGCACCACATAAAAAAATAAAATAAAGGTATTGTGTCCAACTACAACTAAAAAATAAATATTTAAAAGCAATAACAGCATAGAATATATTATATGTGTGTGTAATGACTAGAATATGCAAAATTGCATTTGTAAAAAATATTGTGGAAGAATATAGATCATAAATTTATACTGAGATGGTAAGATTATAGGTGATTTTTTTCTTTATTTCTTCCATTTTTATATAAACTTTTAAAAACATGTTTTATTACTTTAATTCCTTTCAAATATTCTATGTATTATGTGACATATAAATTATGTTAATCATTTGTTTTTAAATATGAGGTCCACTTAGTAAAAAGGGGAGAAATTCACCAACTACTTTTTGAAGGCAACATGGTGTAGATGGTGGAATTCAGGGGTCTTGGCCCACGAGAGAACAGTTTTTCTGCTTTTATTATGAAACGTTTCTTGCAGACAAAGGCAATTTAGAAACCAGGTGTTCACTCTGCCAATACCCTGTTCCTCACCTTGACTTTTCTGTCGTCTGCAGTGACTTCATCAAATTCCTGGCCCAGTTTGAAGGAAATCTCAGTATTTTTAAAGGTGCTTTCTGATCTAATGGTGATCACATCTCCATTCACACTGATGATCATGTTGGGTTTGGCCATGCCAGCCACTTTCCTGGTGGCAAAGCCCACTCCTGCAGTTAGGAAAGGAAAAATGTAAGGTTGACACTTTCTCTCACATCAGTAAGTCAGAGAAGTGTGGTGTAAGAGGAAAGAGGGGAAAGAGATACCCGCGAGTTTCTTAAGGCCTCACTTAAATAGTTCCTGAGGATAAGCACACTAGGCTAACAAGAAAAATTCTGAGGCTTAGTCTTTAAACTTCTCCTTCTCTAGTTCTGGACATAACTGAATTAGAGAAGGAGAAGTTTAAAGACTAAGCCTCAGTTTAAAGTTTAAAGACTAACCTTTATCTATCTATCTATCTATCTATCTATCTATCTATCTATCTATATATACACACACACATATATATATACACACACATATATATATATACACACACACACATATATGCTCATACACACACAAACACACACATACAGACACATATCTATCTCCATTAACGTTTTTTCTATTTATAAAATATGGAAATACTTGAGGCAACAGAACCACTTCATTCTTTCTTAGCTTTTAAAAATTTTATTAAAAAATCCACAGTCCGGAATTTTAAATAGGACTTTGTGGGCTATTATAGAGTTATTCAGGTAAGAGATCATCTATTTTGAGTGTACAAAAGTCACAATTCCTAGCATTTACCATTAAGTCTAATTTTCTGGGCTTCTTTCCCAAATTATTCCCCAATGGAATAAGGATTTGGATTAATTCCTATGAAATGGGGGGAAAATGTTCTGTAAATTCATATCATTTTATAATGGTGATAGAATTGCCAGAAATTTATAGGAAATATTAAGGAGAGACTAGGCATCAAGTGTGTGAAAACACCAAAATTTAATAAATCACTATTTCTAGGGCTGGGTTTGTAGCTCAGTGGTAGAGTGTTTGCCTAGCAAACATGAATAATAAAGCAAAGAAAGAAAGAGGAAAAAAAGACTTCACTGTTTCTCACGAAAACAATATTTTGATTCCTTATCATCTAAGTCATGAACTCTTATTCTTTAAAAAGGGTAATGTATTTTCTTGTATAAAGTGTGAGGTGAACAATTACAACGTAGTATGAACTGTGATAACTCGCCATCACTGCAGATACAGAACTCATGAGAATCATAAATGTATTGAATTTTTTTTTTTTGACACATGCACATAAATGTAGGTTCTCTCTTTGATTAAAAGCAACCAAGGGCTAGAAAGAGGAAAAAACTGGGAGAGAAATATGATGTGAAATAAGTAATACTGAGGCTCAGATTTAGCTGCCTATTCAAAAAGTGGCACAGTGGGAAGATGAGACATTGCTTCAAGTCCTGGCTTTGTTGCGAAATACATTAAATGTATGTATTGAATCAGCAGAGAGAACAGATGCAACACAGAGGGATTCTGCAAGGACCAACTATGGAAAAAAATCTCTACTTGTTTCATTCTCTCCTTATTTGACTGCTCAGAAGACAAAACCTGTTCACCCAGCCTCAATTAGAGCAGCCAGCTTCATTCAGGAGGCATCTTATTGTCTTTATCAGCCTTTTATAATTTAAGCAGTGTCACAAGAATTTATATGTGAATATTAAAAGTTGTAAAATGCTTCCAAAAAATGAGGGGTAAATGCCTTCCAATCCTGGCATTTCTATATCGGTGCATTTTGATTAGTGTATTGAATCACAACTAGTTGATATTCTAGAAAGTTAAATCTTTACCATGCTGAAATTCTTTATTTCCTTCTCATCAATAATCAAGAAGAAACCCAGTAGTTTCAGACAAGTTAAAAAAACTGCTTATATAAAATTGAGGAGAAGGTCAAGTCTTTTGAGATTTAGGGAATTGACTTCTAATCCCTAATAAAGATACTGTATAAAATTTCTCCCCATTTTGATAATCCTGGTTCTGACTTTATCATGTATGAGGCTTGGGATAGAAAGAGCTTTCAAAGCCAAAGTGAACTGAGAAGTTACTTTTATAATTTACATTTATTACTTTCCTGCCGTAGTTATCTGATGAACATTCATACACAACATAATGACAATGTTAACAAAGTCTAAAAATCTATAGGTCACATACGAAACATTCTCCTTTTGAATTACTCAATAATCTATGGCATCCTGTGTCTAGTCAAAGTATTTCAATATTTTACAGAACGTATCTTCTGAAATTAATATTTTTGTCTACAATAAAATAACTACATATTCTAATGCATTGACACTGGGACAAGAAAATAATTTATTAACATACATTTACTAAAAAAATTTAATTTGCTAAGCTGAGAAATACAGTGGCTTCAGTTTCAAATGGAAATTATTGTATGCTACGATAGAAATATGTTTTTAAGGTATTGCACATTTAATATGCAAAAGAGGATGAAAGAAAAACAAGCAAAGAGCCAAGTAAATCAAAGACACCGAAGTTTTGTAATTAGAGTAAAATCTTGGCGTTCTATAGATTATTAAAAAATTTCATTTAGACCCTTTGGTTCACCTTTAAGAAGCTTTAGTTGTAGCTTTGGTTGAGAATGTTTCTAGAAATAGATTCTCACTTGCTGCTTGTACGGCCTCCATATAGAAAAATAGCATTTTTGTTTGAGACCAATGCTTCCAGAGTGAAAACGCAGCTGTAAGCCTTTTCTCCCCAGAAAAAAGTTAAAAATCCCATCATTCCATAGCACATTTACTTACCCACTTCTTTCATGTAATCATCAAAGTTTTCACTGGAGACAAGTTTCCAGGTACCCACAAAAGCATCACACATTTTGCCAGGTTTCTAGGAGTATTCTTCCAGGTGAGAAAGAGGCTGCAGGATTCCAGAAGGTGCTGTGACCCCCTGGAGTCCAGACGATGCCCTTTTAAAGATGCTCAGAACATGTGATCATAGGAGTAACCAATTGGGAAGGATATCAGATTGTTTCCTTCATTACCAGCCTCTGTATTTTTTCCTCTGAGTCATGTTTTTAATAGAAATTTCTCAACTTTAGTTCTCCCTGGCAAATGGTCATTGGACTGGGAGTACAAATTATTTTTAACAACGAACAGAATATTTTAAATGTTCCTGCTTTGCCTGTTTAATGCTCAGTAGCTTGAACTTCCCCCTATTATTTCCATACATATTTACCCATTGTGGAGTGGAACAATTATCTTGGGGTGAACTTTGACCCTCTTTTCTTGAGTTTTCATTTTATTAAAATTGCAATTATGTCGTTCTTTTGAATGGAGGAACATAAAAACTACCTAGGAGAGTCTTAAACAATTGCAGTCTCTTTGTGACAGTACTGTCTCAGAACAAACCTGGCAATTAAAACAAAATAAATACTGACATTTTAAAGTACCCCAGATTTCTAATTTCAAATGTTTTATATGAATATAAAGAGCATTTAATCCACCAGGAATCCAGATTGTAGATTTTGTTAAAATAAGAATTTAACCTCTTAGTCTTTCCACCCCGTAATGACAACATGGTGTTGAATTCTAAGGACTCCTTTAAAAATAGGCTCAAATTAAAGATACACTCTTCATTCTGTTCCTGAACTATAGTAAATACTCCAAATTTAACCCATTCTAGATGATATTGTTTTACTTGAGTGATCAGAAATGATGTTGTCACAAGCTATCAAAACCTTTTTTTCATTTATATGATGACTGACCTGTGAAATTACTTTTCGAAAGTGATTTTCAATCTTCTCACCCCATACCAGCATAATGGAAGATTTTCACATGTACAACAGTCTCCCATGAACATATCTAGATTTTAGGACATTGTGGAGTGATGAGCTCTGACCCTGTGGATCTCACTAAGCAGAACATGCAGAGCATGTGATTGACTTGTGAGCCAGTATCCACAACCTGGGGCGTCACAGAAAGGTTTGGGGCAAGGAATTCTGTAAATAATAGGATTTTCTGTAGGAATGTAAGTTAAATAAAGTTAAATTACAATGGTAATTTTTAACTGCTATAATTTTTAATGGCATGATAATAACATTCATCCATTAGGGTCTGTTGCATAGATCCATAGACTGGTGATGTTCGGTTCATGGTAGTTCATGATAGAGATTAAGCTGTTACTCATTCAATAAGCTCTTTAAAATGTGAAGAAATAAATATAACTATTTTTAGTAAAGGAATAATTTTGATAATGTTCTAAATTAATTATAGTTTTCTTTTTAGCATATATGTTGATTCCTGATATGTAGTAACAAGGTGCTTCAGACCAATCTTAAATGATTATCATGTTTGAATATATACAACATGTGTTGTAACACTACTATTTAACCATGTTGTTTTAGAGATGAACCATCCAAGACTTATGTCTCTAGTCACATGTGGCTTAAATACTTGCAGTGTGGTTGGTGTGACTATAAAACTGAATTTCATTCAGTAAGAACATAAAAAATGTTCTAATTTGGTTCTTGGAGAAATTTTAAATATGTTTGGAGCAATTTGGATATGTCAATCTATACCTTCAACTGTAAATTTTATGAAATTGCCACTTTGTCAATAAATAATTTCAAGTCTTAATTGGGATGTACTGCTCATATAACATAGACACCAGACATGTAAGTCAATATAAAATAATAATATACAACATACTATTAAAATTCCCTAAATTGATTATATGCTGAAATGACAATAATTTAGACACATAGGATTAAATGAAATGTGTGACTACAATTAGCTTCACCTGTTTCTTTTTAACTTTCTTAACGTGGCTACTAGAAAACTTAATATTATATATGTGGCTCACCTTACAGTTCCCTTAAACAAGGATATTTTCGAGTACCATCATGACACCAAGGTTCATTTGTTCATGCAAGTATGAACCAGGCACTGAACTAAGTGCAGGAGTCGACAGTGAGAAGCCACCCTAGGACTTGCCTCCTCTTGTGAAGCTTATAGTCTAGAATGGGAGAAGGTAATATGCAAGGGGACAAAGACACCAGTTATAGGTATAGCTTGTTTCTGAGCAAAGAGAGCAGGGTCATTTGATGTAATGACTATTGTTGGCAATACCAGAGGGAGCAGTCCAGGAGAACCCACTGAAGGAGGTGGACCATTGACTTATCACCTAATAGATGAGAAGACAGCGATAGGAAGATCAGGGGAAGAAGTAGTCTGGCCATAGAGAACATCAGGGATTGCTGTTTTGATTCCCTTTCAATACAGTTGCATCCAATCTGGTCACCAACAGTACCTACAAACCTTGACCAACATACGGATATGCGTTCTTGGTGAGCAAAGGCCAAGGGCTATCGAAGTGGTGTCTTTTGTTCAGATTTATCCACTGTTAGATACCAAGCAATTAAATATTCAATGAAATACCTGAAGGAAACTCTCATTAGGTGGGCTAGCTAGTACATGTCCATTGGCACTCTTCTAAAAAAATCTTCAAGAATATTTCTGTGTGACAGCATCAATCTTCTTATATTTAATGCCTGACCATCATTGGACAAATGGCAGAGCTGAGATTTTCTAGAAATAACCTCCTTTAATGATTTTATATATACAAATAGTAGTAATTTACAGTGAAGAGCCTTGGTAATTTAAATAATTATAAAGAAATAATTGAGATGTGAGAGAGTAGTTGAGTCCACATGAAGAAACTTTATTTTATCACCGTGGAAAGTAACAAATAGGCCTGACAGAGTTTCTTACCTGAAAGGATGTTGTCCTTAGAAGCGTCTCAGTTTATGTTCCCTACATATGGACCCTCTTGTGAAATACTAATATTTTTAATTATGCACAAGACTACCATGCTATATCTGATGTTAAGGTATGGAACTCTTTCTATACAATAAATAGGCCAGAAACTTACTACAGAGGCCCATACCTTATGCGTCACAGTATAAACAGAAACATACCCAACTGCTTGGTTCCTCCAGAGATTATCTCCACCTCAACCCTTAAGTTGAAATGTTCACTCACCAAATCATTATCATGTTTCACCACAATATCAGTGGAATTCTGTGTGAAAGAAGTAGTACAAAAGAAAGAGAATCATGCTTTTAAAAAAATTCAATATTATATGGTCTTGGACATAGTGTTTTTTGAAGAATATCCTACCTCAGAATTAAGAAAGAGTTAAAATTTAACTGAAAGTTTGTCATTCTTTCTTGCAAACTTGCAGAAATTAGTCACATTTCCACTTGTAGTTTCATTATACAAAGTTTACACTGGCAAATAAGTTTCAAAAAAATCTTTTTCTGTAAGCCTGCTATGTCCAAGGCATGGTTCTACATGGGGTAAGGGAATATAATAATAAATAAGACAAGATTTATGTCTTTCTTCACTGATCCAAGTTCCCATTTTAGTTACCAGCCTGGGACCAAAGTAAAATACAGAGCCTTTTTAAAAGGATTTTGTTTGGATAATTATCTTTTTTGGCGGGGGAGGAGTACCAGGGATTGAACTCAGGGGCACTCAACCACTGAGCCACATCCCCAACCCTATTTTGCATTTTATTTAGAGACAGGGTCTCACTGAGTTGCTTAGCACCTCACCATTGCTGAGTCTGGCTTTGAACACTTGATCATCCTTCCTTAGCCTCCCAAGCCACTGGGATTATAGGTGTGTGCAGCCGCCACTGGACCTTGTTTTGATAATTACCTTAAGATGGGAATTTTTGAAATAAGATGCACCGGCTGATTTCCTAATTTTAAAAATGTTTTTGGCATCTTTTATTAACACAAAATATATACAAAGAGACACCTCCATCCCATCCCACTCTCTTCTCATTCCTAACTTCCCTTCCCTATCCATCTGTGAGTTAAAGTTCCTAGCACGTTGCTCATTCATTGAATATTTAGATTGATGAATTAATTAACAAATGAATGAGATACGGGTTCTGGCCACATAATCATGCTTCCTACTTGTATATGTGTTTTAAATGAAGAAAGCCAGGGACTCTTATTTGAATTTTAAAAGCATGTACATAGCAGCCCTAGAAAAAAGTAGATTATAAAGGGTAGAATAGACAGATGTGAATCTGCTCACAAGGCAAGAGTTAGAAAATGACAAGCAAGAAAATGGCCACAGAACAATGGGAAAGCAGTGGAAGAAATCGAGAAATGGGACAGAAAGGGTGAAGAATGCTGCTTCCTTCTGGAGGGGTCTAACACCCACAAACAAGGCACATGGCAGGCAGTTTGCCTTTGATTGCAAAAAGAATTCCTTCAGGAATGACTATGCTTTTTGGCATTAATAGAGCATGAAAATGCACACATGCCAGGCCAGAATGTTCCTTAGAGCTGTGGGGATGGGAACTGCAGCAGAGAGAGCCCCACTTTTCCTTGGGAGTGTAGAGCCCGGGGATAAGACCCCAGATGCTCAGGGCTGACAGGAAGGCACTCTCTGGTCTAGGCCGTCTGCCTTGCACTTTGCTCTCCTATGGGCAGCTTCCATGGAATGCATCCCTCTGACCTTTGCCTGTGTTTATTTCTTTTGGAGGAAATGAGGGCATTTTTGGGACAATTTTTAAGTTGAAGAGGAAACATACCTCTCTCTGGATAAGGAGCAGGGACAAAGCCAATGTGAGGGTGGAGAGTTAGGTGAGGGTTCATGCCCAGGCTCTCCTTTTATTGGAAGAAAAATTCCTTTACTAACAGATGATTATTAAATGCTTTGGAATTTTTTTGGAGTTTTAAGATGGAACCTTAACCACAAAATTAGGCATATTTTATTTGACTCTCACTCCCCAGGTACTAGTGGGAACATGTACTATGAGAATTGTCTTGTGTTTCCCATCCTAGGTTTAAGAGACAAAGTCAAAGTCGTGTGTGAGTTTGTATATTATTTGTTGCACACATGTTCACAGTGACTCTTGACTCTTTGACTTCAAAATGGTGG